TCTATTCAACTTTGCACTAGGTGCAAAGTACTGCAGTAAGAGCTGGAGACATAAAAACAAAGCTGTCCCTGTTCTCAAGGAAATCATATTGGTTCATAGAGTTAGGGCTGGAAAGGTCCTCAGAGGTCACCTAGTCCAATGTTCTCATTTTACAGATGAAAAAAATGGAGCCCAGTTAGGATAAGTAACTTGCTCAAGGTCACACAGGCAGTAAGTGTTAAAGGTAGAATTATTTATTTACTTGTTTGTTTATTCATTCATTTATAACATTCATTTTCTTAAATTTTGAGTTCCAAATTTTCTCACTCCAGCCTTTCTCTACCCCTTATCAATTTTACATGCGAAGCCATGCAAAGCATATTTCCACATTAACCATGTTGAAAAAAAAAACACAAACCCAAAACCCCGAAGCATACAAAGAAAATGGGTGAAAAAGGGGGAAAAAAGCACTGGCATACCTTGGCAATATTGCAGGTTTGGTTCCAGGAACACTACAGTAAAGTGAGTTGGACAAATTTTTTTGTTTTCCAATACATATAAAAGTTATGTTTATACCATACTGTAGTCTATTAAAGTACACAATAACTTTATGTCTAAACAAATGTACATACATACTTTAATTTAAAATATTTTATTGCTAAAAAATGCCAACCATCATCTGATCCTTCAGTGAGTCATAATCTTTTTGCTGGTGGGGGGGGGGCGTCTTGCTTTGATGTTAATGGCTGCTGATGATTAGGGTGGTGGTTGCTGACGGTTGTGGTGGCTTTGGCAATTTCTTAAAATAAGACAATAATGAAGTTTGCTGCATTGATTGACTCTTGCTTTCACTTGAATAATTAAAGACAATTGCAGGGTTTTAATTGGTCTAATTTCAATATTATTACATCTCAGAGAAGGCCAGAGGAGAGAAAGATCAAGAACAGCAAGTTCCCATTCCCCTTTCAGTGGAGCAGTTATAACACACACAACATTTATCTATTAAGTTCACCATCTTATATCAGCACAATTTGTGGTGCCCTAAAACAACTGCAATAGTTAACATCAAAGATCACTGATTCCAGATCACCGTAACAAATATAATAATGAAAGAGTTTTAAATATTCCAAGAATTACCAGAGACACAAAGTGAGCACATGCTGTTAGACAAATAATGCCAATAGATTTGCTTGATACAGGATTGCCACAAACCTTCAATTTGTAAAAAACACAGTATCTGTGAAACGCAATAAAGTGAAATACAATAAAATGAAGTATGCCCCTATGTTTTAATCTGCACTCAGAGTTCATCAGTTCTCTCTCTGGAGGTGGACAGCATTTTTCATCACGAGTCCTTTAGAATTGTGTTGTATCATTTTATTGATTAGAATAGCTAAATCAGCTAAAAACAGCTGATTATCATTATAATACTGCAGTTATTGTGTACAATGTTCTTCTGGTTCTGTTCACTTTATTTTGGATCAGTTCATATAAGTCTTCCCAGGTTTTTATGAAGCCATCCCCCTCACTTCTTATAGCCCAGCAGTATTCCATCACAATCATATTCCACACCTTGTTCAGCCACTCCTCAATTAATGGGCATCCTTTCCAATTCTTTGCAAAGGTAAGATTACATTTGACTATCTGTATCACTCATTTTGGGATTTAACATATACCCATAGCTGATATTATTTAACCATTTCATGTAGGTGTCTCATCTTCCAACCACACCGTAAATTTCTTTGGTGAAGGGCAATATCTATATATTGAACCCCTGCCTCCCACAGCATTATCTAGCACAGTGCTAGCACACAGTCAGTTCTTGAGTACTGGTTGAGTTGAACTTTTGCAAGATGAAGTATGGTCTAATAGAAAGAGAAGTGGATTAAGAGTCTGAGGCCCCTGGTTCATATCCTACCTTTGCCACTTACTACCTGCATGACTTTGAGCAAATCACTCCATCTTTGCAGGCCTTTGTTTCCATTTCCATAAAATGAGGGAGTTGTGCTACCTGGCCTTTAAGGTACCTTCCAGCTTTGAATTTATGATCTTATGAATTATGCCAAGTGCAAGTGTTCCCACTCTGACAGTAACCAGCTGTGTATTATTAGACAAGACACTTAGACTCAATAAGCCTCAGTAACTTCATCTCTAAGATGAAAATGTTGATCAGATGATCCCGAGGTACCTAACACAAACTCTTAAGTCCTCTCTACTTAGTGGAAAGGGCTCTAGATCTAGAGTCATAAGACTTGAGTTCAAATCCTTCCTCTGATACCCAGGTGACCTTTAGCAAGGCACTTACTATCCCTGGGTCTCAGTTTCCTTAAATGTGAAATGGGGGAGGGTAGACTTTGAGATCCTTTCCAGCTCTGGATATATAATAGTTCTATTTCTTAGCCTTTCCTATACCCTTCCTTGTAGGACAAGATAGCACTTGATTTAAAATTTTACCTGATCTACCCCTTGCTCTTATGTCGTATAACTCCATGTTATATGGCTGGTGGCAAAATATAGGAGTGTCTCTGTCCAATCTTGGATGTGGTTCTGATTCTGAGAAAAAAAATCTGAGAATTCTGAGAATAAAGCTTAGTCAGGGAGGACTATTTTGTTGGCAGTTAAGAAAAGAAAAAATAGTTGTGAAACCTGAACCTTTGGCTTCAAGATGAAAGTTCTTGAGAATAGTTAGTAACGGGGCTGTGCACTTTGGGCGGAGGCACTCAAGCTTATGCACGAAGCAACGGAGTTTCAGCATAAATTTTGGATCAAGATTGCTCTGAAGACTCAATCATCTCCTCTTTGGAAAAAAAAAAGATCTCTTTGGTCTTATATCTGCTGGAGAATATTTGGAAGTAATCCCAAGTCACATAAATTTGTGAAGTGACAAGGTAATGCTAATTGGGCACCAGGTCATACTTGACATCAAACAAAACCCTGTTTAATCCCCAAAGTAAGTAATGGTGAGGGACTGGAGAGAGATTGTCACAAACTAACCATGGACTTCAGATCTTACATATCCTGTTAAGCTTCTATGCAAGGGAAAAAAAAACAAACTCTAGTGAGATGCTTTTCCAAAATCAATACTTTAAGTAATTTACATGATATATAGTAATGTATTTCTTAACCCTTTGCGCAGGTAGGAGGCTATGGGTGTGGAATATTGCATATGTTGCCACAGACCACTGATATTTTTGTTTCACTGAAATGCTGAAATGCTTTTGTTCTCTTTTAAAATTTTGTTATACGAGAGGACTCTGGATGGAAGGGAGAAGGGTATATTCAGAAATTAGTGATGCAATAACAAAGATATAAAGTTTTTTTCTTTTTTTAAGGAATGCATTGCCCAGTATGATGCATAGGATAAAAGAAAAAACAGAGTTGTAGTTGTTAATAATCCTCTTGGCCATTTTTCATTAAGCAAAGTTTTAAGGGAGAATATGAAAAAAACTAGGTATTTGTACCTGTAGTTACGTAGATACTACTTTGGTGAACTGTGATTTACTTGCATAATTTCTTCTCAATATTTTATGGTATTGATGAGGTAGTATCATCTATGTTTTGTATGCATTGGTGGGGGAAAATCTGCACCAGTGATGACAGAATCATAGGAACATAGACTTAGAATGGCAAGGGACCTCAGATGACATCTGGTCCAACCCCCTCACCTTACATGTGAGGGACCTGAGGCCCAGGGCACTACAGCATTATTAACATTTTCTCCATCATATCCCTAAATCTACACAATCAACAAAACAATAAATCAATTTGTAGCCCATATTTGCAGCACATGCTGAATTCTGAGATGCAAATGCTCATACTGAAAATTTAACAATTAGGTAGGTATGAGCTGGCTCTAACACACCCATGCTTCCACCTTCCACCACAAATCCTCTACTTTCATTCACAAAGAACAATTATAACTGCTATAGTGATAAGGAGTTTCATCTCTACCTTGGGAAAACATGAGATTTGGGGAAGACCTCTGAGTGGAATGGATCACAGAGCAGATCTCTCTGAATTTTCTTCAATTTCTCTAAATTCTCTGGTGTGAACTACCAAATTTGGTATTTGCTGTAGTATGTCTGGCAGTTACACATCCAGCCAGCTCTTATTTATCTACGACAACAGAAGAAGAGATAGCATGGTAACAGAAAGCTTGCACTGACTATGAAGTCAAAAGACCTGGGGTCCAACTTCCCTCTGATGCTTTCCTACCTTTGTGACCTCCCTCATCTGTAAAATAGCGTTATAAGGCCTCTGAGGACGCTTCTAGCTTTAGACCTGTAAGAGGTACTTACTGTTCCACTCTACTCATGATTCACTGAGTGATGTCGGTGCCTGATTCTGATTTATCTATCCTCTGGCAAGTCATGCCAATCTGAAGTGTACTTCATGGGCTCAGAGGCATTGGACTATGGTGCAACTGTGCTAAGGGTAATGAGACTAAAGATTTTTAAATTTTAGGCAACAGCTTCTGACTCATGAAGTCATGTCGAGGTATTGTGACTGGGTTGTAATTGCTTGGGTGGCACAAAAACACACATGGATAAAATCAATGATCTTTTGAAGCACAGGCAATATAACAGAGGTGACATAGTACTAGGTCGTGTCCTGGACTTGGCATTAGGAAGACTTGAGTTTGAATCTTGACTCTGACATGTGTGACCTGGAGCAATTCACTCAACATCTCTCAGCCTCAGTGTTCCCATTTGCAAAATGAGGACACTAAAAGCGTTTACCTCACTGGGTTGAATAAGATCTTTTTAATGTGATATATAAATTGTTACTGTTGAAGAAAACAACGGGTGTGGACAGTACCTGTGATTTCATCGGTATTCAGAGTTTTTGGTAAAGAATTTCCTCTAGCAATGCAGAAGGGCACCTCCTCAGCAACTTTTAGTTTTAGGGAGTTGTCTAGAATAGATGGAAGGGAGGGAAGGGAGCGGGGAGGGGAGGAGCAGGAGGGAGGGAAGGGGGAGGAGTTAGGGAGTACATATAGTCAGGCTCTTCAGAATGGTACCTAGCTTGACCCGAGTAAGGGCGCTGGGCTTCACTTTCGCCACTGCGCAGGCGCCTCCTACTCTGCGCAGCTATACTAAGAGAGGGAGGCTTTGACTTCATGCGCGAGAAGTCCCGCGGGTCACTTAGCCGCTGTCCCTCCCGGCAGCAGGTGCCCTCGGTCCTCGGGAGGTCATCTATGGCTCTCCAAGGAGTCCGAGTGCTGGAGTTTGCCGGCCTGGCCCCAGGCCCCCTCTGCGGCATGATCCTGGCCGATTTCGGGGCCCAGGTGATGAGAGTGGACAGGCTGGGCCCGGCCACCCCTACGTGGATGGCCCGAGGGAAGCGATCCTTGGCCTTGGACTTGAAGCGGCCCGAGGGGGCGGCCGTAATACGCAGGATCAGCCGCCAGATGGACGTGCTGGCGGAGCCCTTCCGGTCAGGTGAGCGCGAGGACCGCCCCCCGCCCCGCTCCCCCCGCCCCCGCCTCCTCCCTCTCCCAGGGTCTCACTCCCTCCCCCCGGGTCTCACTCCCTCCCCCCTTCCCAGCTCCACCCCGGTCCGCTGGTGCCCTCCTTCCCCGCCCCTCCCCCCACCCCCCACTACTGCACTGCCAGAAAGGTTTCAGAAACTAAGCTTTGGAAAGCTATAAATAATTTTTAGTCCGTAGGGCTGAGCCAAACTTGAGTAAACATAAATAATTGGTTTTTCATAGATTCTTAAAGTAGTTAAGCAAAAAATGACTTTAAATGTTTACATTCTACTTAGGTGTCATGGAGAAATTTGGACTTGGTCCAGAGATTCTGCGAAAGGACAATCCAAGGCTTATCTATGCCAGATTGAGTGGATTTGGTCAGACTGGAAGATTGTCTAAGGTAGCAGGTCACGATATCAATTTTCTGGCCTTGTCAGGTATGTTGGGGAATATCATTCAATTTTTTTTTTTTACACATTTTATTTACACCCACTCGAGGTCTATGGTTTAGTTCATTTCAGCAAGAAATTAAAAATAAGATCAAGTATTAAATCTTCAACAGCCTTAAAAAATAGAGAAATATTTGATCAATATGGGAGGTTGATTTAACTTGTGAGATGACTAGTTTCAAACTTTTCTGTAGGCTCCTAGAGCCCTTGTTTTCTGTCTGTAGGATTATGCTATTGGTCAACATTGTAGGGCATGAAATAGACACAAAAAGATTTCCTGATTTCAGCATTTTGACAATTACTACTCTTAGATAAAAGTGCTGACCAAAGGTACTCTTGCATTCCTTATATCATATTGAAATGTTTGGCTATTTGAGAGCCTGAATGCTGTAATGGAAAGCATTACTTCTGGACTTGGAGTCAGGAGGGCTGAGTTTAAATTCCAGCCCCAACACTTATTAATAATGTGACCACTGGCAGGTCATTTAACCTCTTTGAACTTCCTCAGCTTTCTCATTTAAAGTGAGGATAGTGATACTTACACTACTTGTCATTTTGTAAGAAATAGTATGAAACATGCTTGTCTTAATATAAGAAAAGTACTCTATAAATCACAAGATACTATGTTAATGTAAACTATTATCAGTCAGAAAAAGAATTAATATTCTTCCCCCACATGCATGGTTTTCACATTTACTTTTACATTTGATCATTTTAATGTTTTTTGGTACGCATGTTTCAAGTCTCTTTTATAAGGAGGAAGTGATTATCCTTCCACAGAGATCTCATGCCATATCCTTATTGAGGCATGAGGTCATCCTTGGTCTTCGAAGGATTAGACAAATGGAACATAGATTCCTGCAGGTTCTACAAACCAAGAAACTTTAATAATAGTAATAATAATACCTAGCATACAGTATATTAAGGAATGCCAATTGCTTTATACATATTAATTAATTTTGTTTCCATAACAACCCTCTGAGGTAGGTACTGTTATTATCCCTATTTTGTAGATGAGGAAACTAAGGCAAATGGATTAATTTATATGCCCATGTTACACAGCTAATGTCCGATGCCATATTTTAATTCAGACTCCAAATCTAATGCTCTATCCAGTGTGCCCCCTACCTGCCTCAGTAGTACAGGCTTAATAGCAGACTATGTGTCTACTGTCCAAAAACTACTCTAGCAAAATACAGAAAAGAAGGTGGAGGATATTCAGAATTATATAATTCTTAAGGCATCAAAAGAAATGTATTTAACTCTTGTATCTCATAAAGTACAGTTTTTGTGTACAACAAGTAGATGTATTTCTGGATGCATTAAGCTATATCCATTTTGACATTCTTAGTACAAGCGAAATGAGAAAACATGAAGAATTTATAGACAAATGAAAGGTCAACTCATAGAACCTCCATGGAAAAGCAAATAAAGAAATTCACCTAGTTGATTTTATTTTATGGCCAGATGCAACAAAATAACATAATTTTATTGGACATTTAGTCATCTCATCTCTTTTTGCATTTATTACTGACCATAAGCAGATAGATTATCTTGAAGATGACTATAGCTCATATGCTATTATAGCAGAGGATGAATCGAGAATTTCTCTGAAAAACTTGATGAATTTCTCCAGACTAAGACAACAGTTACTTTTCTGCCTTGTGATTTCAATGTGAAAATGAGTAGAAAGGCAGCAAAAGATTTTAGAAAATATGGTTTACTGTCAAGAAATAACTTTGAATTTCTAAAGTGCTTTCAGATTACTCTCCTAACAGTGATCCTATGAGATTGACTATATAGGTATTTCATCTCCATTTTACAGATCAGGAAACTGATGCTCAGAGATAAAGGGACTTCACTGTGTGACCCTTGGCAAGTCACTTAACCTCTCAGTGGCCCAAAGAACTCTAAGACTGTAAATTGTAGAATATTTGAAGGTCTGCATTGGTGGAAGGAATTTCCCCATGAAGAGTGCCCTGTACCAATGAAATTATAGGTCCAGGCCCTATTCCCTATCCTTATGTGTTCTTGAAGAAGTACTTTATTTTACTTTCTTTTATAAATAGTAGGAGATTATCCCTTAGCAAAAATCTTCTCCCAAAGCCTTATTATGGCATAGAGATGATTTGAGGTCTTTTTGATAACTATGCTTTAGAATACAAGTTGTGTCTGGCATGTTCTACCAAGCCATAAAGGTTTCACATGTAGGCTTAATTCAAGCTTGTGTTTGCTGTTCAAAGACCAGCCCACAGAGGCCCAGAAATTATTAGCTAGCACTCAGTCTCTTTGTTGAGTGAAAAGAAATGTCCATTCATGGCAGCATGATTTTTAGAGCATGATGTTACTTTTAAAAAAATTATATTTTTTTCTCCTCAATTACATGTAAAGACAATTTTTAACATTTTTTTTGTAAAATTTTGAGTTCCAAATTCTATCCCTCCCTTCCTCCCTTCCCCCCTTCCTAAGACAGTAAGCAATCTGATACAGGTTATACATGTGCAATCATGTAAAACATTTCCATATTAGTCATTTTGTGCAAGAAGATTTGAAGGAAAAAAAAGTGAAAAATAGTGTGCTTCAGTCTGTATTCAGATAATAGTTCTTTCTCTGGAGGTGAATATCATTTTTCATCATGAGCCCTTTGGGATTACCTTGGATAAGTTTTTCATTGTACAATATTACTGTTGCTGTGTGCAATAGTCCTCAGGTTCTGCTCACTTCACCTTGTATCAGTTCATGAAAGTCTTTCCAGATTTTTTTGAAATCATCCTGCTTGTTATTTCTTATAGCACAATAATATTCCATTACATTACAATCACATACCACAGCTTGTTCGACCATTTCCCCACTGATGGGCATCCCCTCAATTTCCAATTCTTAGTCACCACAAAAAGAGCTGTTATAAATATTTTTGTATAAGTAGTTTTTTTTTCCCTTGCTCTCTCTCTCTTTTTAAATCTCTTTGGAATATAGACCTAGCAGTGTATTGCTAGATCATAGGGTATGCACTGTTTTTTTTAGCCCTTTGGGCATAGTTCCAAATTAATTTCCAAAATGGTTGGATCAGTTCACAACTCCACCAACAGTGCATTAGTGTCCCAGTTTTCCCACATCCTCTCCAACATTTATCGTTTTCCTTTTTTGTCATATATAATGTTACTTTTGAAACATTTTGGAGGAGGAAATTGGAAGGCTTCAGGCAGTATTAATTGCTTCATAAGAAGAGAAAACTTAAGAGAAATCTACTGAGAATTCAACTCATGATTTGACTAAACCAATCTTCCAGTATTCCAAGGATCTATAATTTAATTGGTGTGATGTCTGCTGATGGATACTGAATTTTTTTTATACAACCCCTCTGTGACTTAATGGAATCTTTGAGAGTTGCAGTTGCTTAAAAATTCATCACTTTTTTTTGCCATGTGTCCCGGTTAGCTAAGGTAGTTCTCAGAAAAAGAAACAGACTGGCTTTAAGCCTCTGTACTCCAAGCATTTCCAGTTTGACTAGCACCTGCCAGATTTTGTGTTATGCTGGCATAATTCTTGAGAACCAAGTGGATCTCTGCACTGTGATGAGTCATTGGAGTAAGCCTTTTAATGAAGGAAGCTAACCTTGGAAGAATCACAACTACAAGCATACTTAAAGCCAATAGGAAGATACATTTTAGGGTATAGAGTATTGCCAGTGATGAGAACAAGGATAAAAAACATTATTGAAGTTATGGATGATTAAAAAGGGAAGCGGGCACATCATAAAAGAGCTCATGAGGGTTCACAGTGGGACACTATGAGTGCCTCCTGGGTGTCCATGAAGTATTAAATAAATCAAAAGAAGGCTGTTCGTACTTTGACTCAGTGCTCTGAAGGGGGGAAGGGAAGGGTACAAACATTTATTAAGTGGCTACTATGTGCCAAGTGCTGTGCCAAATGAGGATCTCATTTGATCCTCACAATAACCCTGAGGTAGGTGCTATTTCATCCGCATTTTACAGTTGGGGAAACTGAGGCGTATGGAGGCTATATAGCCAAAAATTGCACAGGAGAAGTAGGGTTTTGAGTTACGCCAGGGGAAAGAGTCCCTGAACCTATAAAATCATGGATTTGTCAAGATTACTACATTTGATCTTAGCCCAAATGGGCCAAGAAGTGAGGCTTTTATCCAAGAAATGGAGATTTTCATACTGTCCTATGGAATCTATGAGATAGTAATATTCATTAATTTCCTGAACTCTGTGAGTAAAAACATAAAAGCACAGTAACACAAGCAACTGAATTAAGATTTGAGAAAACATAGGCTGATTTATAAGAAACGTTAGGAAAACTATCTTCTACTTGTCTTTACAAAAGTAGGAAAGAGAAAGACCTCCTGAATTAAAAAAAAAATCAGTTTATTTTTTAGAGGCTGAAATACTTTGGATTTTAAAAAGTTCAAATTTTGATTAAAAACAGATCTTAAATTCACAGGGTAATTTATCTTAGTCTCATGACTAATTTTCTTTTTAAATGTATAGGTGTGCTGTCAAAATTAGGCAGGAGTAGTGAGACTCCTTATGCACCACTAAATCTTTTGGCTGACTTTGGTGGTGGCAGTTTGACATGTGCATTGGGCATTGTGCTGGCTCTTTATGAACGTACGCAGTCTGGCAAAGGTCAGGTCATTGATGCAAATATGGTAAGTTTCCATCACTGAAAATGAAATACCTGCTAATTGTTTATAAGTGCACTTTTTTTGACATTTGAAACAACATTCAAATATCTAAGGGAATTACTTTCTCAAGATGGCCTCATCTAATTTGATATACATGCTAAATTTATCGTGGTTAACATTCTGGTTAATATTTAGGTCTGGTTAACATTCTAACCACTTGACTCCCTTCATTTATACCTAGCCCTCCAGCACTTTTCTCCTGTCTCTCCAGATTAGACTATCCGGTTTCTAACTTCTAAATTAGATTTAAATCATACTTGCCCTCAGAAAGTGCTTCTTTGTGAATTAGGGGGTAAGAGGGTGTTTGTTTAACCAAATCACCACAGATTCAAGTTCTTTTCCACTATCCTATTTGAAACATTAATTTTTATCTAATATGTCTCTAGTCTAGATAACTGTTATATAGTATTTCAATGTACTATTGTACAGAAATCTCTATCTCTTGTTTTAAACTCCTGCTGTTTTCTGCATAAAAATGTTTTTAAAAGTCATTGTGAGAAAAGGTGTAGTTTCTTTTAAAACTGGTTGACTAAACTATAAAATGATGTAGGGAAAGTACCAATAGTAATGAAGTTTAAGTATTTGATTCAAATTAGGTATCATAACAATTAACTTCAAATTGGAAAACAGCAGTGGTTAAGAAAATAGTTTTTTCTAATTGGAGGAAAAAGTAACCATGGATATCTTATTAGTCTGTTAGGATTCTGAGACCATCTAGTCCAACCCTCTCATCAGTTGCTTGCTCTTATTCTACCATTTCTTTTTGTTTTGCCATAAGATGATTGGAATAAAAAGAGTAGAGAGAGATTATCGTGGAAGCTTCCTGGTTGATAAGAAATGTCAGCAAGGCTGAGTAAGGTTGTTTCACTTAACTAGCTAACAAGCAGTTTAAGGTCTGTTCAGCTCAAAGGCTGGGAGAGGCTTTTTTTTTTTAATAGTTGTCTTGAAACTGAAAAGCTTATTTAGACCATGGATAAAGCCCTTCAAGTTAATCACAGATGTTTCCTAATACATGGTTCCTTTCCTGCCAATGAGCCTTTCCTTGCCACAAAGAAAAAAATATATTTAAAATCACCTGAGCGACACTGTCCATCAGTATATGCAACGTTGTACACATCCTGGCCACCACTTCTCCACAGAAAGGGAGGTGCATTTTGCCATTCTCTGTGACAAAGATTCATCATTACAATTACTTGGCCCTTTTCCTTGTACTATTCTTTTCATTGCTATTACTGTAATCCTGTTTCATGGGAGCGACCTATAAAACAAAGAAAAATACAAAATGGGCCTTGATTCCCTTTCTGCTTCTACAAATGACAAAGTACAAAGAGTGCTAAGAATCCCAGAGTTTTTTAGACATTCTAGAAATATTAATCTAACTATTGGTATTTGTGGTACAAGAGGAAATGTGTTGGATTTGATGTCAGAGGACCTTTATTTGAATCCCAGCTCTGCTATGTATGTCATGTCTGGCCATTCACTTCACTTTTCTGGCCCATGTCTTCCTCGTCTATCAAGCGAAGGAGTTGAACTTGATCTCCGAGGTTCCTTCCAACTCCAAATCTATGCTCCTAGGAGGTGATTACATGAATCTATTGGAGGGGATGGAACAGCCAAAGGAGAGAATACTGAGAACAGAACTTTGGAGAATGCCTATGTTCATGTCAGGGAAGAGGTTAAAAAAAAAACAGTAAAGGAGATGAAGAAGGAAGTTTAAAAACAGGCTGGAGAAGGATGAGAATATGTCATAGAATCCAAAGGAATAGAGATTACCAATAATAACAACTGATATTTATCTAACACTTTAAGGACAACAAAGCGTTTTTTAAATACATCCTCACATTTGATCTTCACAACTCTACCAAGTCAATACTATCAATAATTCGCCTCATTTTATATATTAGTTAAGGTATTTTCCTAAGGTCACAAAGCAAGTGAATGTCTGCAAACTAGATTTGAACTCTACTGTTCCTAACTCCATTATGCCACAAATGAAGTAGAGAGACAAAGGAGAGTGAAGACTTGAAAAAGACCATTTAATTTGGCAGTTAGAAGGTCATTGGTGATCTCTGAGAGAGTAGTTTCAGTAGAATGTCAGGGACTGAAGCCACATGGCAAGAGGTTGAGGAGTGAGTGGGTGAAAAGGTAGTGGAGGTAATAAGTATATATTTCTTTGTCAAGACATTTGGCTGGCAGCAAAAGGGAGGGGAGATTGTGAAATGGTAGTTGGAGGTGTAGAAGGGTTTAGGAAGTTTTTTGTTTGTTTTTTAGGATACAAGCAGATGGAAGAAGGAGAAATGAAAGATAACAGATGGGGAATGATCAGTAGAGCAAGGCCCCATAGGAGGTGGGATGGAATATGATCATTGGCACAGGCAGGAGAAACACTTCTTCTGAGAGAGGATGAGTGAAGACATGGAGAAGTTTGGAGGTGTGGAAGAAGGCTGTTGAAAGAATGCATTAGGATGATCTTGAATAAAGTAGGAGGCGAATTATCTGCTGAGAATATGGAGGTCAGAAGTGTGTTTGGGGACTCTAATCGATTATTCATTGTTGGTATGAAGCTTCCCAGAGTGGCTGTATTGTAGGGACACCAAGAACTTTACTATAAGATTTCTGGAAAATTCAAGGACTGAAGTCATAACAGCTGAAAACATAAAGAGATGTTTAGGTTACCTGTAGATAGCCTTTGGGGGTGTTGGGGCCAGGCGATATTCCTCTCCAGTGAAATAATTCCCTGGCAGACTAACCATAGCTTCATGATTCAATAAGGAGGTAATAATGCATGAGAGATAGCACGGTGAAGTGAATAGGCACCTGGCTTTGGAGTTAAGACCAAGGTTTGAATCACGCCTCCGACACTGTGGCATATACTAGCTGTGGGACCTTGGGCAAGTCCCTTGATATTTCTCAAGTTCGGTTTCTTCATCTGTAAAATAAGGGGTTAAACTTGACCTCTAATCTCTCTTCTAGCTTTAAATTTGTTTAAGTTCCCTTAGAAAATGAATCCTGTTTTCCTAATGTGGAAAGTGTTTTTATATCAACTTTTAGGAACAACAACAACAAAAACCTACTGAAGTTAATTGTGTTCTTTATATTGTGAACAATCTGTATCAACTATTTCATTTGTAAACCTAAATGACGCTTATTTTACTTCTTTCCAGGTGGAAGGAGCAGCATATCTAAGTTCTTTTTTGTGGCAGTCGCAAAATGCTGGACTCTGGAGCCAGCCTCGAGGAAAGAATATGTTAGATAGTGGAGCACCTTTCTATGAAACGTACAGGACTTCAGATGGGAAATTCATGGCTGTTGGTGCCATAGAACCTCAATTCTATGCACTGCTGATTAATGGTAATGAATTTTTGGAAGACACTGCTTGCTTGTTTGTCTATTTTCATAAGTGTGTTGGCAGTATAACTGAGATCTTCTTTGGAGTCTGGGATTATTTGGGTGACCCTTTGAAATTAAAATGTTGCTTTCCTATGAATTTATATTCTGAGTAACCAACATATATTATAATTTACTTTAAAATTTAATATTGTAGCTTATGTTTTTCCCAATGAAAAAAATCTACATTTGGTTCTTGTAATCTTTATGAATTTTGAAAGACATGTGGGTTAATATTAAGACCCTTTTAGGTACATAAAATAGCCTTCATTCAATTCAACATACATTTATTACTTTTTCATTACTGTGCTAATGCAGCAGGGTAGAAATACAAGCTTATCATGTGACTTCTTATACCCAGTAGATGCCTTTACTCTTGCTTTATAATACCACTTCTTCAAATACCTTTAAACAATTCCTGATTTTATTTGGGTGAGTACTCTTTTTACCAACACATATCCAAGCTCTTCCTCCATGCCTTAGTAAGTCATAATATATGAGTTGCTGTGACCAAAAAGAAAATCGTTACCTAGTGAGCAAGCTTTTGGTGGTCAACCTATCGGAAGTTAGCTGGGCTGCTACTCAGATAATGGGCATGCAGCTTGTCACTTCATGCTAGGACTTGCCAGAAATTATACTCTGCTGGCATTGGAATAGTCCTATAAAGAAGGAAGTCATCTACTCACTTGAGTATTTCCTGTTCTTTGATAGACCCCTGGAAGTATTTGTAAATATGATGGTTCATCAATTTATAATCACATATTGAATTCCAGTTACAGGGTTTTAATAGTGGTACATGTCATTGTAGCCTTCTTGCAATTCTTAACAAGTTTCCCATTTCCTTATATTAGTAATCCTGTGCCCTTCAAATTTTGCTCACTAGCTGAGTAATTGTGCTAAAGGTTATTTCATTCATATGTATTAGAGTCTTTCTAAGTTAAATCTTATTTCAGAGATAGATCAATTCAGATGTGTTTAAAAGGACTACACACTACAGGATAAGTAAGATGAGCTCTTTTTTAGCATATTTGTCTCTTTTAAATGTATGGCCTTAATATTACATTACATTGGGCCAGCTCAGTGGCACAGTGTATAGATTGCTGAGCCTGGAGTCAGGAAGACTTGAATTCAAATCCAGTCTCAGATACTAACTAGTTGTGTGACACTGGGCAAGTCACTTAATCCTGTTTGCCTCAATTTGCCCATCTGTTAAATGAGCTGGAGAAGGAAATGGCAAACCAAAGTATCTTTGCCAACAGTATCCCAAGTGGGGTCACAAAGAGTTGGACACAACTGAAACAACTGAACGACAACAGCAATAACAACATTACGTTAAATAGTTTTAAAAGTAGAATATATGGATCAAAGTTGTTAACTTGTAATTTGAGGAATGCCAAGGATCATAAAAGTACTTTAAAACAATTGTTATCAATATTAATTTGACCAACTTCTAGGTGAGAATGCAAAAAGGAATATAGTAATTGGTCTGAGGCATGTGGAGTACTTTTCGGCAAAAACAGAACTGGAAATAGATCATCTTCATTTTAAATTCTAGGCCTAAACTACATTCCATCACACACTTTGGAGCCAAATGAATATTCAAATACAGTATATCCACCATGGCTCTGTAATTATTAAGATGTGCTTTCAGTGTATGTGTGTGTGTGTATGTAGGTATTCATTTGGCTCCAAAGCGTGCAATAGAATGGATTTCTTTCTTTCTCCCTTTTAAGTCTTGATAAATGGTTGTCTAGCAGAAAAATTTTTCTTTCCATTAAGTTTTCTGAGAAATATTTTTAAATCAAATTTTTATAAATACTCATTTCAAAATTCAATCTTTGTTAATACCATGGAGGGAAGAGATGTCTATCTGTATCTGCCTATCTATCTATCTATCTATCTGTCTGTCTGTCTGTCTATCTATCTGTCTATCTGTCTCTCTATCACCAAGATTACTCCCCTGCCCCCTTCTCAGAGAGCCATCTCTTATAACAAAGAAGTTTAGAAAAAAGAAAGAAAAAGAGAAAGAAGAGGAAAAAAATCAGCAAAACCAATCAATACATCAAAAAAAATCTGACAATATATTCAATGTTCCACACCCATGGATACTACCATCCCTCCCATACATACCCCCCATCTCTACAAAGAGCAAGGTGAGGGTGGGGATAGGTGGTTTCTAATCATATTTCTTCTTTGGAGCAAGGTTTTTTTTTTGTGATTTTTCAGCATTCATTTTTGATAATTTTGTGGTGGTTCTTTTTATTTTACATTATTGTCATTGAGTATATTATTTTCTTGTCTCTTCTTCACTTTCCATCACTTCATATAATTTTTTCTATTTTTTTTTGTTTTTCATAATTTCTTATACATTAAATTCTTGGACAACAATTTGCTCAGCCATTCTGCAATTGATGGAAGTCTATTTTATTTCCCTTTCTTTGCTACTACAAAAAGAATGTTGCTATAAATATTAAATCATGTGGTTTTAGTTAAAAATATTAAATTATACATGTTATAACTCTAGAGAATTTTATATTTAGAGAATTTATAATCATAGGCAATTGTCCTGTTACAAACAAATTTTCTTTGAAATTAATATCAAGAGTAACATTTTACTTCTGCAAACAAAGAGAAAACTAAGGCTAGACTAGTTGAACACTGTTCTTTTAAACAAGGCATAATCATAAAATGTATACTGTTGGGTCTCTTGTCATATACTATATTCTCTTCACCCACTTGAGACAATCTGTATTGAATTTTATTTGGGGTAGAGGTAGTCAGCTCATGGTCCATTTCCATTAATGGTATGGCTTAATCACTACCAAAGCGTAGTCAGTAAATAAGAATGTCTTATTTTCTTTCATCAGGACTGGGATTAAATTGTGATGAACTTCCTGATCAGCTGAGTATTTCTGATTGGGAAGAAATGAAGAAGAAATTTGCAGAAAAGTTTGCAAAGAAGACACAGGCAGAATGGTGTAAGATTTTTGATGGCACCGATGCATGTGTGACTCCTGTTGTGAATTTGGAGGAAGCTGCCCTTAATGAACATAACCAAGAACGGGGCTCTTTTATCACTGATGAGGATCATAATGTGAGCCCCAGACCTGCTCCTTTGCTTTCGAGAACACCAGCTGTTCCCTCTACCAAAAGGAATCCACTGAAAGGAGAACACACTGAAGAGATACTTCAGGAATTTGGGTTTAGCAAGGAAGAGATTAATCAGCTTTATTTGGACAAAATCATTGAACCAAGTAAACTGAAAGCTAATCTATAAACTCATAATTATAGAGCTTAGCAGGTTTGAAGAATAAATTTGTGATACAGAATGATAATTAACACTTCATACATGGAGATTGGAAATTATGGTATTACATTTGTTGGAATATCCTAATCAGGCAATAACTAGTAACTGAAAAATTATTTTGGTTGCACAGTTATGATAGATTTCACTACAGATTTTTCCATGGAGACTTTTGGCTTAAGAATGTTGTATTTTTAGAGTAATGCTCACAGTGGATGAGCCTTTTAACTCATCTTTTGAATATATTTTTTAATGTTAGAATATGAAAGTGCTTTTAATGTTTTAAATGAATTAAAAAATGAATTAAAAGAAGTCATTTTGTAAAATGTAAAAATCTTATTTAGTGAAGTTCAGTGATACCTTAAGACAAAGGTAGAAGAAACCCTAGAGAGTAGTCCCAGGGACCCCCATGCAGTCTATTTTGCCCCCAGGGCCCCTTCCCTCTTTTAGAAGTAACTGAGCAAAAAACAAAACAAAATAAAACCAAAAAAAACCCCAAAACCCTACTCCATGAGTATGCAAAAAAGAATTCATAGGCTTTCCTTAGTTCCCACCATTAGACCCCACCTACCTGCCTAGTATAAAGAAAGACACCTAACACCCCTCAGGACACTTTTCTACTGCTGCCTCCCCTGATTCCTTCTAGAGCAATGAAAATCCTCCCTTCTGCCGCCTCCTTGTATCACTGGCTGGTGAACCTACCGTTTCTCGCCACCTCTACCTCCCACCCCCAATAGGCATCTGCTTTTCCTTTTTTTGGCTGCTCTTCCAACTTCCTCACTGACCTCTACTCAATAAAAACTGTAAACACTATTGAACCATATATCATCTCATGGCATGTCTCTGTCTTGCATTGGAAATAGCCCTAAGCTACAGACTGATGGCATATATGGTCATGAGAAAAACTTTTGGAGGAAGCACTTCACCAAAAACAGAAGTTTAGTTCTCCAGTCATAATTCAAAGGTTGTCATGGAGATTATAGGAGAAGGTGATGGACTTTAGGGAGTACCATTTATTTCATTTTTATTGCTAGTTAACTGTACTGACCTTTGTTGTTAGAAAGGGAAAGTATTTGAGAAACCAACTTTCTAATGTTTCCACCACATTTAGCCAATTTAGTGAACATAACTTTGAAGCCTATAGTTGGGAAAACTAATCCACTGTTTGGTTTTTTAGAGGCCTTTTAGCACAAAGTCAGTGTAAGAGGAAATCTTTTTTTGGAGGGGGGAGGTTTAGGCGTTTTGATTAACGTTTTTCTTTTTTCAAGTTGGGAAGTGACTGTAGGGAAATTAAAGGAAACCTTTCTCAGATGGTTCAAAACATTCCAAGGAGCCAGAGGGGGCTCGTTGCTGCTAATCTCCGTCATGCTTCCCCACTCCCCCTCCCTTCTTCCTTGATCATAACTTGTGATCTTGTAGGCATGAAAGAATTTAAGCCCTTCCCCCATCCTGAGCATCTCCTCCTCCTACTTCCTAGCCAGCCAGAATCCATGTCAAAAAGAGTCCGTTGTGAAAAACTTCGAGCTACTCCTAGGAGGTGGTGGTGTTGTAGGGAGGTGCTTTATTCAACAGGCATGAGTGGCAGCAGTGGACAGACTGAGATTCAAAAGTACATGTCCCTAGCTAAGTTTGGCCTCTTTGACCATACTGAACCCCCCAGAAGATCTGTAGGCAGACTTATCATGCATAGCATGGCTATGTTTGGCAGGGAGTTTTGCTATGCTGTGGAAGCTGCTTATGTGACCCCAGTGCTACTCAGTGTGGGCCTGCCCAAAAGTCTGTACAGTATAGTGTGGCTCATTAGTCCCATCCTGGGCTTCATGCTGCAGCCAGTAGTGGGATCAGCCAGTGATCACTGTAAATCCAGATGGGGCAAACGGAGACCCTACATCTTGACGCTGGGCATCATGATGCTGCTGGGTATGGCATTGTACCTCAACGGGGATGCTGTTATTTCAGGTAAGTGAACTCCATGATCTAACCAGGCAAAAATAATTCTATATCTTACTGTGAAATGGCCATAACTTGTTTTGTGTGCGACTTGAATGAGACTTGGATCAGAACAGATCACATCTCCCAGGCTATGAGGAAGCTGTTGTCTGGGGTGACAAGTTCTAGAGTTTTGAAAGTTCTTGATATTTAATACATCAGGAAGTTTTTATTCAGAAAATGATGTGAATGAATCTTAAATAGAATTATCAATTGAGTTTCCTTTTGAGTCTATTTCGTCTAACCAACTTAATTGAATACATAATTTCAACCAACCATTCTAGACACAAAGTTACTAGTAATTATCATTTAATTTAGAGACAAGACAAAGCTGGCAAAGTATCAGTGGGTCAATCCAAGGGGGAAGTTTTACAACTGCAATAGGTATATCTCCTTTGCCCCAATCATTAATATGCAGCTTGAGATATACTTTATTAAATAATCATACAATGTTAAAATTGGAAGGAAGCTTACAGGTCTAGTCTACCCTCTTCACTTTAAAGGGGAGCGGATGGAGACTCAGAGTAGTAGACTTGCCCAAAGCCATACAGTTCCTCGGGGGCAGAACTGAGACTTAGTAGTGGGCAGAAAGTTTCATAAAGAAGGGATTGGAAAACTTAAAAACAAGACATATTCCATGCAGCTATTCTTCTCTTTGGCTGGATGGCAGGGAAATGGGAGGCAGGATGCCTTGGTGGGTATTTTAAATGAAAATAAGGCCATGGCAACCCTGGCTGGACTGTGTGCAAAACGTCCTTTACTGAAAGCAATTGGTTGGAGAAATGCTTTTGATTCTTTTTCAGCTGTGATTACTAAGCCAAGCAAAAAACTGACGATCTGGGCAGTAACTATCACCATGCTGGGTGTAGCACTCTTTGATTTTGCAGCTGATTTTATTGATGGCCCCATCAAAGCCTATTTGTTTGATGTTTGCTCCCATCAGGATAAAGAGAGGGGTCTCCATTACCATGCACTCTTCACAGGTAGGGAATGAAAGTGCTTTTTTTCCCTCCTTTTTCTTTTATTATCCCATGAAGGGGAGGAATTTTGTGGGGGAGGAAGATAAATTGTGGTTGCAGTTTTCTTTCTTGGCTTTGCTAATCTTTTTGAATGAATAGATCAGTTGATCTGGTGCTGCTATCACGAGGGCCTTGTCTTCCGGGTCCATTTCTCTTGAGAAGGTCAGCTTGTGACTGGGCTGTCAGATTTTCCAGAAGGAGACTTATACAAGGATGTCCATAAGTCATATTTTCAACGAAGTGAACAAAAATGCCTTCTGCTTTTTACATGTGTTGTGTAAAGATACAGTGTTTTCAGATTCCTATTTGGATGAAGGGCATGCAAAAATTCCATACACTAAGGAGAATGCAGGCGTGTAACCTGCCTTTTTGAAATCTAGAGCTGTTCTCCTCCCTTCTGGGAGATGGATATTAGTTAGCTTTCCTCTCCTCCTTTCCTCAGTTCTGGGTCATGGGAAATAGAACTAAACTAAACATAAAATATTCCAGTCACCTCACTCATGTCACTAATACTTCTTTTGTACTGGACAGTAATTAGGGATGGAGAAGCAAAAACCATTTTGTAAGAAGGATATGTTCAGTTTTGTCTTCAAGGTCTAACAACCTGGGAAGATGTTAAAACATTGACAAGGATTCCAGTACATATTGATTGTTTGCCAGTATTTTATTTTTTTTTTACCAGCCTTTACTGGCTGGGGAAAATGTACCAATGGTAATAATGATTAAGAAGCATTTATTGAGGGGCTTGCTGTGTGAGGATGGGGTGGGAGATAATAAAAGGGAGCAGGTCTAGAGGGACCCAGGTAGAAATATAAGACAGCTCATACCTGCAAGGAATTTATAGTCTAGTTGAGAAGATTCAATTCCATTAAACAAGCTTTTATGAAATGGCTACTTTGTTCCCGGCACTGTGCTGATTTATGGCATAGTCAAATCACACTGTTTTGTTGTTTAGTTCTTTTCAGTTATGTCCAACTCTTCGTGACTCCATTTGGGGTTTTCTTGGCAAAGATACTGGAGTGGTTTGCCATTCCCTTCTTCAGCTCATTTTACAGATGAGGAAAATGAAGCAGATAGGGTTAAGTGACTTGCCCACAGTCACACAGCTAATAAACATCTGTAGTCATATTTGAACTCAGGAACACTAGTCTTCCTGACTGCAAGCAGAGCACTCTATCCATTGCTCCAGTAAGGAACTAAATAAATCCTAAAATGATTGGTGAAATGAATTGCTCTGCAATTTCATTTGTGTGAGTACTCCTACAGACACAGATTGTCATATTTAAGTTGACCATTTTAAAATTAGCTAAAAATTTAATGCCCTAGGGGCTAATCTAGTGATCAAAGAGTCATAACTAATTCAGAGCTTTGCCCTACAGGGCTGGGGGAGGAAGGAGGCTGGAAAGAGAGCTGATAGTAATGTCCCTGGGCCTAGCCTCTAGGTCTGCCTGATCTGCAAAGAGACAATAATTAAGCCCTTTGCAGCAAGAGAGAAGTTGTAGAGAGAAAAGGAAAGGGGGTTCGAGGCAGAATCCTGATAAACCCATGCCTAGGGACCTGAAAGAAAAAGATAATCTAGAAAGGAGAATATAAAAATGGGAAGAAAGACAGTCTCCAGAAGGAGGGAGTGGTCAGCAAAGTCAAATATTAAAGAAAGATCAAGAAGGATGAGAGTTGAGAAAAGGTCATTGGATTTAACAATGAAGAAAGACATCCCTGACAACCTTAGAGAGAACATTTTCAATCTGAAGCCATATTGAAAGGGGTTAAGAAGAGAGAGAAGGAAAAACAATGAATTTAGATAGTTTTTTCTTTTTTTTCTTTTTCATTTAATTTTTTTTAGTTAACACTTATTTTATCATCTCCTTCCCTCTTCCCCACCCCCATTGGACAAAAAGAAAAAAAAGAAAAAAGAAAAAGAAAACCCACGTAACAAATATGCATAGACAAGCAAAGCAAATTCCCACATTGGCCACGTACACAAATGTATGTCTCATTCTGTATCTTGAATCCTTCACCTTTCTGTCAGGCAATGGGTCATATATTTGATCTTAAAGATTAGAAAGGGGGGGGCAAGAATTGAAGAAGCAACTTCTCAGAGAAGATGGGAGATAATAGATCAAAAGCACAAGTGAAATAATTGACTTTGGCCAGAAGGACCCCTTTTCTGAGACTGATGAGAGGAAGAGAGAATGGGGACAACATTCAGGAGATTGGAATTATAAAGTTATGAAGGAGAGGGAGCTTAAGATGGTTCGTCTCAACTTTCTCCGTAAACTATGAAGTAAGGTCTTCTGATGAGAGGGAGGGAAAGAAGATGGTAATCGTAGTTTGAGAACAGAGAGGTTAGGAAACAGAACTGTAGCAAGTATGACAGGTAGTCAATCAGGAAAGAGGAAATTGATTGATTTGCATCACTGAGAACTCAGTTGAGATTAGATAGCAGACATTTTTAGTGGACTCAGCATGGAGACTTCCTCCAGCATCTGGAGAGTAAGAGTGAAAAGGTGGCCAGTGGGAATAATCCAGGGTTGGAATCTGCAAGGGAATGACCAGTGATAGGATAAGGGGCAAAGAATTTGAAAGTAGATAACGTTGTAAAGTTGAACTACATAACTATAGAATCAAAATTGAGGAGAGAGTAAAGTGAGATCAGAGCAAGGAGGCCTGGGAAATTGGGGAGAGGGGGAAGAGGATTGACTGGAAGTTGTGATGAGGATGAAGAATAGGTTTAGGAGAGGTAAGTCCCAGGAGAGATGGAATGATAAGAGGTTATGGTCAGAGGAATTTGTGAGTTTTGGATTTTGGAGACTGAAAACTTGTGGTGATGATGAAGTCAAGAGTATTCCCATGCGTACCTGAGATTCTGGTCACAGGAGATGAAGTTGATGAACCAGAAATCCAAAGTGTTTGAGAAGACATCAGCATGTACATTGAAGCCCCCTAAGCATAAGGATAGGAATTGGGATAGAGAAGATTGTGGGCTGCTACTGACCTTTCTTGTGAAAAGTGGGAGAATTGAAGAGGAGGACAATGGATAGCTGTCCCCGGAATCTTGATAGGGTTTTATATATATATATATATTTATATATAATGATGGAGTGAACCATGGAGGAGAAATTGCTGAGTAATAGGGGGTGGGAGGTAAAGGAAGTGGCATCAAGGCACATTAACTATACCCTACATCCTAGAGAGGGTGGCCAGGGATGTAGTGTCTTCTGGGAGAAGTCAGGTTTCTCTGATTACAAGAAAACGGAAACTATGAGAGGAAGAGGTTGATAGGAAGGTCAGTTCATTAGCAATAGAATGGAAGGCAATTTCTGAGACTAAGCTGTAAAAGAACAGCTCACCTGCTTTGGTAGATCGAGTAGCCTATGTCATTGAAATTACAGGTTCAGTTCAAAGAGGAAAACAGAAAACAAAGAAAAGCAAAACACTAGTGAGGAGGGAAAGGGAGAAGGAGAAAGAAAAGCATAAATGGGGGAAATAGGATGGAAAAGATACATAGTAATCATAACTGTGAATGTGAACGGGATGAACTCTCCCATAAAATGGTAGCAGATAGCAGAATGGATTAAAAACCATAATCCTACAATATGTTGTTTACAGGAAACATATTTGAAACAGAGGGACACACACAGGGTAAAGATAAAAGGCTGGAGTAGACTATATTATGTTTCAGTTGAAGTAAAAAAAGCAGGGGTAGCAATCCTGATCTCAGACACAGCAAAAGCAAAAATAGATCTTATCAAAAGAGATAAGGAAGGAAACTACATCTTGCTAAAAGGCACCATAGACAATGAAGTAATATCATTACTAAACATATATAGCATCCAGATTCTTAGAGGAGAAGCTCAGGAAGTTACAGGAAGAAATAGACAGCAAAACTATACTAGTGGGGGACCTTAACCTCCCCCTCTCTGAACTAGATAAATCTAACCACAAAATAAATAAGAAAGAAGTTAAAGAGGTGAATAGAATATTAGAAGAGTTAGCTGTGATAGACCTCTGGAGAAAATTGAATGGGGATAAAAAGGAATATACTTTTTTCTCGGTGGTGCATGGCACATACACAAAAATTGACTATGTACTAGGGCATAAAAATCTCACAATCCAATGCAGAAAGGCAGAAATATTAAATGCATCTTTTTCAGATCACAATACAATAAAAATTATATGTAATAAAGGGTCATGGAAAGATAGACTAAAACTAATTGGAAACTGAATGGGTCAAACAACAAATCATTGGAACAATCAATAACTTTATTCAAGAGAATGACAATAATGAGACAACATACCAAAACTTATGAGATGCAGCGAAAGCAGTTCTTAGGGGAAGTTTTATATTTCTAAATGCTTATATAAATAAAATAGAGAAAGAGATCAATGAATTGGGCATACAACTTAAAAAAACTAGAAAAAGAACAAATTAAAAATCCTTAATTAAATACCAAATTAGAAATACTGAAAACCAAAGGAGAAATTAAGAAAACTGTTAAACTAATAAATAAAACTAAGAGCTGGTTTTATGAAAAAAAAAAACCCAATAAAATAGATAAACCTTTGGTTAATTTAATTTAAAAAAAAAGAAGGAAACCAAATTACTAAAAATGAAAAGGGTGAATCCACCACCAAGGAAGAGGAAATTAAAACAATAATTAGGAACTATTTTTCCCAATGGTATGCCAATAAATTTGACAATCTTAGTGAAATGGATGAATATTTACAAAAATATAAATTGCCCAGATTAACAGAAGAGGAAGTAAAATACTTAAATAACCCCATCTCAGAAAAAGAAATTGAACAAGCCATTGATGAACTCCCTAGTAAAAAATCTCCAGGGCCAGATGGATTTACAAGTGAATTCTATCAAACATTTAAAGAACAATTAATTCCAATACTATATAGACTCTTTGGGAAAATAGGTGAAGAAGTCTTATCAAATTCTTTTTATGATGCAAATA